GGAGTGGAGGGGAGTGGAGGGGGGACAGACTAGGGCAGAAGCCACTGGCATAGCCTTTGGCAGTGGGGGTTGTGAAAATAGCCACCACCATAGGAGCAGCTGACTGTACTGCTGCCACTGCACCATGGCAGCTAGCACAACCCTGTGCACTACAACTGTCCTGCTACACCTGTCCTGAAGGTCTATCTTATATTTGTGATCTGAACATATGGTTAGTGCTCAACTACTTTATAATAAACAAAACTGTTATAAATGCAAGCCTTCTATTCAACACTGGTTGGCAGCAAGAAGGGTCAGGTTCATATTTGAAGGTACCCAATGAATTATACCATTGGCACAAGCCCCCACCCAGAAATCTGGGAACATTACATTTGACTGGAGTATTCCACACAGACAAATCCCCATTCTTGCAAGTAGTATAAACCCACAAATACTAATTTATTATCAAAACACAAATAAAACAACTAAAAAAACCCCAAAATTTAAACATAAAGGTTTAAACATAAGGTTTAAACATAAATATAAAGGTTATCTCTACAATTACAGTTTATAGGTTGAACCTCTTTAGAGAGACTTCACTCCAACCCAGGTCCGTCTGGGACTTGGGTCTCCCCAAAGGATTAGTTCCAGGGTCCACACTGGACTTGTCTTATGATTAGGACTCACCGAACATCGGGAAGCTGCTTATGGTCAGCAGTGTGGTTATGGTGCCGTGGGCCTCTCAAGGCTCCTGGAGAAGTGGTAGAGTGCTGATTTTTGCTCCCATGGAGAGGCTGTGTGTATATGCAATGGGGTGAAGGGAGAGGGAACAGAGAAGTGCGGCTCCAGGCAGCAACCGCCCCCCCCACCCCCCACCTCACTCCCAACTTCTGGGCTGGATTATATTTGCTGCTGAGACAGAAACTGCCGGACAAACTCAAAAGGGAGCCAGGTTGATTACTGACAGCAGCTGGCCCAACCACGCAGCTTGGCTGGAGCAACAGACCATCAAAATAAACAAGGGGGAAAGCCAAGCCTACCTTCCAGGCCTGGGCTGCAGATAGTCTGGGTCACGCAGCTCCACTGAGAGCAGGTTACAAACCTCAACTCTGCCCAAAACTGGCAGGATTAGAAACTCCCACATTTCAGCCCTGTTTAAAAACTGCCAGCATAATTGCTGGACAGCCAAGCCGAAGAGTCAATGTCCTCCTCCGGGGGCGATGCATAGGGGGTGCACACGGGTGCACATGCAACACCTGAGTGTGGTGGTGCACCCCCTACAAAAAGGGGCCGCCAACACTGTCAGTGGTGCCTGCGGGCAGTCGCCGCTCACCACCCTGCTGCTGACACCGCCAGCGGCATCTGCGGGTGGTCAGCAATCCCTGCTGGCTGCTGCTGATGCTGCTAGTGGTATCTGCAGGTAGTTGCCGACTCCTGGTCAGCGCTCGCTACCTCTCTCCCCCCCCGCCGCTGACAGTGCTGGTGGCATCTGCGGGAGCTCCGCGCTTACCATCGCTGTGCTCCTACCACTGCCAGTGCAGCTGCGCCCCCCCAGCCGCCGGGGGCACACATCGTTCATGTCCTCCTCTCCAGTATTAATCCCTTAAAGCCTCATAAAAGGAGGAAGAAAAGGAGGAGAGAGGAGTTCCCAGACACTGGGACAATTCTGTCTCTCTCTCTCCTCCACCCGAGTTTCCCTTTTTTCTAGGTGTAGATTCGTTCTCCCCTTGGAGGGGACTTTGCTCTTCAGCAGTCCTTAGCAGCTTCTCCTCCTCCCCAAACCAGCCTAGCTGATCTTATATCCCTTAGTATGATATCACCTTCGCTTTGCCCAGTCAGGGAGTGCCACACTCCAGTCTCTCTCTTAAACAATCTGCCTGAAGAAATCTTTGCTCCCCCTGGCCAATCAGCCAGAGAATTTTACATATCTTACCAGCAATGCCAGTTGTACAATAATTATTGTATTTGTATGATAATTTAATCTCTTGTACAATGTCTATCAATATTGATAGATAATACTAGAAGTGTTCAAAATGTACAATAATTTTTTTTTGCATTATTTGACCCAGTTCTCACTCGCATTGAATTGGAATTTGACAGGGACTTACATGAGGGTGAGTAATATTTGACATTTATCTTTAACCAGAGGCTTACAGTGAGCAATATAAAGTAATTGCATAATGATCACATAACTAAATCTCATTGTATAATATTACTAAGAGCTTTACTTTAAATGCTATATACGGTCTTAAATCAATAGAAAGTCAAAAAGATTTTGTGCTTGTGTAGTTTGTAAATTCCAGGCATGTACCTAATACAGTAAGCTGCAAAATAAAGTGTAGAAGCTTTACAATACACAGACTGAACCACAAAACAAAGAGAAAAGAATAATCATAGTAATAAATTCAGTTTAACCAGTAGAAAAAATAGTTAAACAAAACTTCATAGTGGGCAGTGTCAAGTAGAGTGGCGCAGGCTGTGATGATAACAGTATAAGACAACATGATGTTACTTAAAAAAAGAATATGCCTTATTTGCATACTTATGCATACTTAGCACTAGGACTGCGCGAAGCTTTGGGTGGTGATTCATCATCGGGTGGTGATTCGATTCGGAGGATATTCAGCCCTATTCGGTGGCTGAATCTCTAGATCCGAATCAAATCAGGGGACCAATTGAAAGGTCTGAATCAATTCAAAGCTCTCCGAATATTCAGAAAAGATTCAGAGATCTTTGATGATTTGGGCAGTCCCTGGTGGCTGCAGCAGGGAGCTGCAGCTGATTCCAAGCTGGTAAGTACTAGGGGCGGGGAAGAGGGGGCTGGGCGAGGGGTCCATGGAGGGACCACTGCCAGCCCCCCGGCCTCCCCACTCCCCCAGCCCCCACCATGGCTGCCCACTTTTGCAGCTAATAGGGGACCTGCTTCGCCTCCCCAACATCCAGCAGCAACTCCTTGTCTTCCATGCTGCAGCACTGGCTGCAGACAGCAGGTAGGGAAATGATAGGGACAGAGTGGGGAGCTGCAGCTGGGCGGGGGCAGAGATCATGGTGATGGGGTTGGCGGGAGCATGGAGCCCATGCCAGGGGAGTGGTGGGAGTGTGGAGCTCAGGTAGGCTGGGTGTGGCAGTGCTTAAGATACTTTGGATATGGATGATCCTGACTCTGGCAGGGTACTGGACTAGTTGATCTCCAGAGGTTCCTTCCAGCCCTACTTTTCTATGATTCTGTGCTTCCCAAACAGTACTGATTTACTTCTGAGTCTATACCATAAGAAAAACTTAGTGGCACAAAGGAAAAAAATGTAGCTGTGTAAGGAATGTAGATGTCTTAGCAACACATAATGGCCTGAATCATGCTAAACCGAATGTTGGTTTGTGATTTAAAAACTTAAAAACGGAATAAGTATCACTTACACGTACTAGCTGTGAAGTACAACGGACTCCAGGGGGTCTAGCTGAGCTCTGTTTAATTAACTAATGCCTGCACTGTATCCAAAATGCACACAAAGGAGTATTTTGTTGTTCCCATGTTGCTTTGATTGGTCATATAAGTCAATTGATACTGCTTCTGCTCCTGTTCCTGAAGGGATAAATGTGGCTGGACTAGTCATACATGCACACTGAAACTTCTGCTACCATTACCGTTTCTGCAAACAGATTTGACATTCACTCTCCATGAACAGCAGAAATTGTTTGTGAACTATATGTGCAAGAAGGCAGCAAACAGGGCCCAAGTGAGTTCCTGTCACACTGAGTAAACATTCATTCAAAAAGCATTTTTGGCCATCTCTGTTTTGCATTCATACTGCTGTGAGATTTCTGAATGGAGGTACCAGAGAGAAGATGCAAACATCCTTCAGGGTCCAGGCTACAGAGAATACACAAGACCTTGTTGTTATCAAGCTCAGACCCCAGCACGGCCCCAAGGGTTAATTATTAACATGGTTTACAACCCTTTGCCTTTAGACATGTTCTGCTTAAGTGCTCCCTTTGTGAGGAGTAGCGGTCTTTGTTGCCTAGATACAGGGTACTTGTAGGTGGAGGAAGGTACCTGGAGCTTCATTAATAAAGGGTGGTTAGCAGGTTTTTTTGGATGGAGCTGCAGTACATCAACTCCTACCTGGGGCAGCCCTGAGCCAAAGTGGCTGCTTGTAAGCATCAACCATAGCTTACATCCTAGCAATGACAAGACAAATAAGGATAATTGCTTCTCTCCCCCTAATCAGCATCTTACGATTAGCTATTGTATGTGAAGAAAGTCTTGGCTATGGGCTCATAAGTCTTATCCATGTCAATCCATGGTCACTGCTTACGGAGAGGGCAGAAAGAGCCCTGGGAAGAGTGACTGGGCAAGGACTTGCAGGACCAGCCAGAAACATCAAGGCAAGGCAAAGTATCAGGCCAAAAAAGACAAATCTCCCTGCCTCCTGTGACAATCATCTCCTCAGCTATGAGCCTGGGAGAATTAAAAGCAAGACACAAATTGAAAGAAAGGGGCATGGACCCATTGTTTACAGTTTGGATCGAAGCCTAAAGGATTTTATGACCAAGAAATAAAGATGACTGGAGTGGGAGGTGTGAAATATCTATTTTTTTCAAGGTTGGAACCATAGGTACTTCATAGCCTGGAAGACTCAGTGGCCAATGACAACTACCTTGTGATGTTTTACACTGAAATTCAAGGCTGTAAAATGTAAGCCCACAAGAAGAGAAGCATTTTAATCAAATGATTTAATGCTATTTTCTGAAAACACCTCATTGATGGAAAGGAGCTTTTTCTGAGAGATACAGCATCCCTGTTTTCTGATGAAGACATAAAACTACCCCTAGTGAATCATGCTCTGCCCTGGGCATGTTGGAAATGTGATATTCCTGATACTTCTAAGTGGAAGGCAAGCAGAATGAACATTTTCAGGCTTTCTCTCTTAACAGGAGGAAGCAAAAAGGAACACCAATTCCCTGTTTATGACAATCAATTGCACCTCAGCTTGCAAGTAACAGGCAGAATCCCAGGTTTGTGCGTAGGACGGTAGCTTTCTTCCCAGAACTGCTGGTAGCTAAGGGCCAGATCCACAAGAAGTTAAGCATCTAAGTATTCGTTGAAGAAGGGACTAAAGCTTAGGTCATGCCACGCCACTGCGCCTCCTCCAATGTGTCTGCCATCACCACGAGGCTGTAGAGTCACTCTCTCTTGCTTATCATTCTTCAACAGGAGTCATTAAAAGCAGCCATACCTGAGAGCCTGATGGTAAGCCGGGTGGGACCAGCGGGTTCAAATCCCTTAGGCAGAGGAGAAAATTAAATTCACGTCTACCACACAATATATAGCTCTAACCACTGAGCACCCGGATATAAAGGGGCCCTGCCACCTCCTCTGGCTGTGTATTATGATCAGGTAGGTAGGCTTTGAGAATGGATCATAGAAAACTAGGGTTGGGAGGTCCCTCACAAGGTCACTTTTTCCAATTTCCTGCTCACTGTAAGTTGAACCCTATCTAAACCTCTCTGTCTAACCTTAACTTAAAAACTTTCAGTAAAAGAGATTCAAACAGTCTCTCCAGGTAGCCTGCTCCAGCACTTAACTATCCTCATTGGGATAATGGTGTTCTTCCTACAACTCAGTCCAAATCTCCCAGCCTGAGATGGCTCCTAGACTGAGTCCCACAGAAACACAGGTTGGGGAATGGCACATTTACAAACCCAGCAGGTCTCAGGCACAAGATAGAGAATCAGTTGCTAAGCACCAAGAACGTGGATGTGCTTCTGATTGTAG